TCGGTGACGACCAGCGAATCCTTGGTGTTGTATGTTTTTTTGCTCTCCTTTTTTGCCTTTTGCCATTGGGCGTATCTTGATGGAGAAACCACAGAATCCAAAGCGGTCTTAGGGGTCTGAATACCAGAACTCCGAACCAAGCCAACGGACAGTGGTAAACATTGGTTCCAGTTAGTTTCGGCCTGCTGATGTCAGATGGCTCGAAGGATTTGTTGTGGTGGGTTCCTCTTGTGTTCGTCAGCAGAACTGTCTCATTCGCAGTTTGGCCTTCCTTCGCTGGTTGTCGAACTGAAAGGCAGTCATGGGGGCCGTCAGCTGCAATGAGCCGTATTCTACCACCCAGGAAAGCGCCCAGCCGTCCGCAGAAGCCTCCGAGCTCGCTCACGTTGCGGTAATTTGGATACGGTTACGTGGGATGCCTTCCCGCAAGTCAGAATTCGACCTGGTGTGGTTCAATGTTGTCTCAAAATGAAGTCAAAGAACGTGCGGTTCGCACCGATGTCTCGGACACCTGATCCGGGCCAGACATGCGCGGGAAAAGAGCCAAGACAACATTGAACGGTTTTGCGGCTCATGGTTGGTGGTTGAGGTCGGCACGACGAGATGAGTGCAAGGCTCGGTGCCAGCCAACCATGGTTGTTCAGTCATCACTGGCAGCGGATGGCATTTCCGTGAGATGAGAGTTGCTTCCATTGTTCCACGGAAGCCGACAGCAGTGCGCAGTAATTTTCTGATGGATGACGTGGAGAGCACTGCACAAATTCTCACTGCAGCACAAACTGGAAGTCGCAACCTGGAAGTGGAAGTCACGACCTCGAGGTGCAACGTCTCACGACTTGACCGTTGTTGTCAAATCTTGCGCCATTTCAGTTCGGTAGGTATTTGAGGGGTTTGGGCGCACAAGGGGCGGTCGTGCTCAGCCCTACGCAGTCTCTCAACAATACCAAGCCTTGAGCTGAGCAGCAAGGTGGTGATGCCGAGCAGAAGCGACATTCGTGAATTGGAAGCTGTCGTCAACCATGGACCCACAAGGCCAACTTTGCATGGGGCTCATTTGCGGCTTTCGAACTATTGGATTGCCGACAGGGGTCAACCCCCACACGGACCCAATCAAATTTCGCGGCGTCCAGGCCCTTGGAGGAGCCACAGTTTGTCGATCCGGCTGGTTCCTACTGGGCGGACCAGTTTCCGTGTCTTCGAGAACCACGCCGATCACCTGGGCGGTTCTCTGTCCAAAGTGTCAACCGCATTGCGCTCCAAATTTTGTTTCTATCCGCCGGCACAGATGCCATGCTTCGCTTTCGCTTTTGTGTTGTGCCCGGATGCTGAGCTAGCCTTTGGCCCTTGTCGCAAAATGGAGGGGAAAACCCACTGTGTAATCAGTCTGTGAGTGGCGCGAAGCTCCGCAACGAGAGCCGTTGCAACGTCCGCCGGACATCGCTAGCGGGCACTTGGTAGTATCCTGCAAGTGATCACAAACTACCCCGGCGGAATTTCGCTTATCGCAGAGAAAAGTCAACTCTGACCTGACCGGATGTTTCTTTGATGGAGCCTCACGGGCCAGGCTGCCGGTCCATTTCGACAAGAAAGGATATAGATAACCAATGGGCGCGGATAACGCGGGAACAGCAGCTTACTTTTACTACCGGAGCGTTTCTTGCTTTGCAATATCTGTCCCCCGCGTTCCAATTTGTACCTGCATAACCCGCGCAACGAAGGTGCTGTCAACTGATAGTGCCTCGACGGTCCGCCCTCCGCGGTTCTGCAGACAGGATTCAATTCCCTCCTGAAATCCTGATGCCTTTTGGGATTCTTGGCTGATAGTGACGCACCGAAGCACCTGCATGCGCCACGGCGAAGAAGAAAAACCGCCGAACGGCGTGGCAGACGCCTCCCAGCGCCACAATATCTCGAAATGGCAGCCCCCGCGTTTGCTCCATGACCGGGGCCGTTTGCGCAACACTCGAGACAGGGTTTGCAACGGATTGTAAATGGTGCGGCCAACCTGGCTTCTATGAAGTTGCAACTCTCTCCGTGTGTCTTATCGTCGAACGCGTGTCGTCAGAGGCTCTGGAGGTGTCGGAGTTGTCAGCGCGAAATGCAGCGCGCGTCTGCGAGCTGGCCCGGTGGGTTGCATTCAAGGCGGAAGGCGCTCGATAGATGCACGAACATCCATGGATGGAGATTTCCACTTTCACTGGTCTTGGCACACAGTAGCGTGCCCCCCAATGGACCCCTGACGCCCCTTGCTCCCCTGAGAGGCAGGTACGACCCCTGGACGAATCGATGCGTCCAGACTCAAGTTGGACGGAGTCGAGCAAGACCAACCGTTCTCTGTGTTTATTTCGTGAGGGCGTCTTTTGGGAGCTCGACCGAATTATCTCGTCATCGGATCCACCACTTGTGTCCTCTTCATCAATATTCTCTTGCTTGGAGCAGGCCACGGCATTATCACACAAATTTATATCGCCCAGGCCCCTCGTTCATTGGGCGCGTCCCCTCGATCCACGGCACCGCGTTATTTACCCGCCTAGCCCCATATTGGACCCCAAGGCCGAATTGGTCGGCCCCCCATCGATAGTCGAGCATTGGCGTTGGAACACTGGCATTGGAGCCTGCCCCGGTCACCTGGATGCCATTGTGCATTCTCTGTCGAAACAAAAAGGCACAAACCGCAGTTCCCGTCCCCGACGAACGCCGTTTTGGATCTTCGCGCCAGTCCCGGCCGATCACAACCACGAAACGAAACCACTCGCTCGCTCGTTCCAGTCGCTCGTTACCTAGCCCCCCTCTGCCCTCGGAGTCGCGTCGCAAAGCGATGTCCCGTCGATTCCAACAGTAACTGCCCACAACAGCTTCATGATGGCCCCATCATGGACTTCGATCTCAGTCGCCTTGGCCTACTTGGCCTGCCACGGGCTGGCTGCTACCGCCAGTAGCCATGGGCCGACCGAAACCCTGATTATCGATACGAGAGTGCGATACGAAGACAATGGTGTTTGGATGATGCTGTCGGAGGAAGAGGTGGAGCTGCGGAGGCTGGCAAAACGCCAATTCGACAATCCCACTCAGGAACCCGAGCCCAGTGTCACGACAACCTTCGAGATCGCCGTGTCGACAGCACCAACAGCAGGCACCACCACCAAGCCTACAACTGCCACTACAAGCCCTCTGCCTCGGCCGCTTGATAGCAACCTGTCGACCAACTTCACCACCAGCTCGGATGGATCCGTTCCCTGCCCCAAGTTCCTCAACTCGTTTCTCACAGACGAGAGGTTCAAGCAGTGCTACCCGCTGTCAATGCTCCTCCAGGTTGGTGGGATTGGTACTTGAATATTCTGCAAACAGTCGTGCTAACTGGGCCATTAGGGATCTCGGTCTTTCTTCAACGCTGAAAAGTCGCTGGTCAGCACCACACAGGTCCTGGATGCAACATGCCACTCGAATTTCACCTATTGCAACGGTTATCTGTCAGATCTGGCCAAGACACTCATACAAACGGAAAATTGCGGTCTTGACTACCAAGCGGGAAACCCCATTGTTCGGAACGCCCACATCGCCTTGACCGCCTATGCCCCGGTATACAACGCGGGATGCCTGAAGGACCCTCAGACATCAATGTATTGCTATGCCAACGCCATCACCAACTTCTCCAACCCCGCAAATGTTGTCGTTTACTACCTACCCCTCAACATTTCGCTACCCGGGAGCGCCATTCCGACGTGCAGCTCCTGTTTACAACAGACCATGAACGTCTTCCAAGCCGCCACGGCAAACCGGAAGCAGTACCTCGCCAGCAATTACAAATCGGCCGCTCAGCAAATCAACCTGATGTGCGGTCCCAGTTTTGTCGAGGAGGAACTTGCTGTCGAGATTTCCTCTGGTGCTATCAGAAGCCATGGGGTTGGCTCCTCATGGCTGATGCTCGCGACAGCATCAGCGTTAGCCTTGTTGCCACTGCTGCTCTGACCTGAGCCAAAGACGACAACCACATAACACGGCGTTCTGGAAATTTATGGACCGATTTCTGGATTCGGCATCGCCGATGAGTGTACGAAGAGTATTTCATGTCTGAGACTTCCCTAGACTTCATGTTTGTGTATACATTTTATGGCGCTTGATACCCATTCCTCTTTTACAGCAACGGTAATGGAGATTAGCTCCTGTTGCAGCGGCTTATACCATTCAACTGTATATATTATTTTGGATGGACTTTGGATCATCTTGGTTGGAAGGAAAGATAAAAGGAACCAGGCCGTTGGCGGTTTTTGATGCGAGTTTACGGGCAACCCTTTTTGTTTTTATCTACTGGCCAATCTGACTTTGGCTGGATGATGGTAAGGATTTCAATGGATGTGGCGTTCAAAAGGCATGGGAGGCATTGTTGGTTTGGACTGTTGGGTATGTCAATCGGGAATAATAAACTTACCTACAAAGGATCCACGATTCAATCTAATCCATTTACTTCGTTCAGTTCATTTCACTGAAAAGCATGATCCATTCCATCTGCTCTCATTTAGATACAATTCCGCGCAAGCGAAACAACGACAATGGCGAGACTTGTTTGTGTTGGTTCTGACTCTGTAGCGTTTGCATATCGCCAACGCACAAAATGCAGACTAAGGGGCCTCACATCATCAAAGGTCGGATGGTGTAGTTGGTTATCACGTATGCTTCACACGCATAAGGTCCCCGGTTCGAGCCCGGGTCCGATCATTGGTTCATCTGTCTGAAAACTTTTCAGAAGAAACTTGACTTTTCAACTGTTCTAAAATTGTTTCGACTTTTTTTTGTTGTTGTTCAGTTTCTTGTGTAAACCAACCATCGCAGCGATGCTGCGTTTCTCGGTCCTGCCCGACAGACACTGAGTGTTAAAAAAGGGGGGTAAAGACAACACAAGATCCGAAGCGGGGAAGCCCTCCGCCGCATTTTGCCGAGAGTGGCATCTTGCAACGTAATGAAGTGAGAAACATTCAAAATGAAGAAAAAAAAGATAATGGTGCCCCCTGCCTGGATTGAACAAGCGACCTCGCCATGGTAAGAACCTCTTGAGAAGAGGTGGAATACGAGTGGCGCGCTCTACCACTGAGCTAAAGGGGCAAGCCTTGTTTGGTTGTTGCGATCCACCTGGTGGAGGAGGCTGATGGATCTCGGAGGCGCAAGGGTTCCACAGAGATACACTGCAGTTATTTCAAGCGAACTGGAACAAAACACCGGACTGGAACATGTCTCATCCCCAGCTGGATCAGTAGTACGTAACTGTGTTGATCACCAATGAACGCTGCTTATTCTTCAACTGATGGGCGGGTCTGGCCCGAGTATGTATGTACACCTGCTGCAACCATCCTAATCTTATCACACCACGCCAGCTTCGTCATCGTTCATCATGCCCATCTACTCCGGAGTAACTTCAACCCCCCCCAATGTTCGTGATACGCCATAATATAGAATACGCCGCCCTTCCTCAATAACACACACTGAATCAGCGCCTATATGTAGGGTTGCTAAGCCATGTAGACGTAAGCTCCATCCTCCCTCTCAATGTAATCCTTCTCAATGAGCCTGTGTGTCGAACATCAGTCAGTAATCTCTCCCCTCACCAAATGGGTGTAAGCAGACTCACTTTTCAATATTCAGCTTGATATCCGCAGCATCCACCGCACCCCGGCTCTTCGTCTGGTTGATGACCTCCGCCACCAACTGGCTATGCGTCATCGTCTTCCTGCTCTTCATGATGCGCACAATCGCCGCCTGCGTCTCAAACTGCCGATCAGCCGCAACGCGCTTGTGCGTATCCTGGTTCTCCTCCTTTGTCTCCTTGAGCTGAATCTGGTTGATCTTGACGCGGAACTTTGGATCGGTGAAGGCTTTATTGACAGTGAAGGTGTCGGTCTCCTTGACATCGCGTCCCTTGGGGTGCTTGCTAAGGACGCGGATCTTACCACAGGCAAGGCTCTGCAGTGTGCGCTGCAGCTCTGGCCCAGGCAGACCGGTCGTTTGAGCGATCTGCTGGTATGCGAGCACGCCGTCCGTTGGGCCGCCCTTGCCCTCGGCTTCGTTGAAGAGAACCAGAACGACAGCTTGGAGGGCGCTGACCAGCAGCTCCTTCGGGCCACGGTCAAACTGCGCTCGTATGACGCAATGCGCAAGATTGTGTTTCCATGCGAGCCGACGACCGGTGTGCTTGGACTTGTAGTATGCGTCGAAGGAGTTAATGTGCTCGAGCACATCCTTCGGCAGCAGTACCCGCATGTCGGGGTATGTCGGCCACGCCGCCGCGGAGAGGATGCTCACGGTCAGATCCATACCACCTTTGGTACGCCCCGTGCCAGCAAGCCACTCCTTGTAGGACACCATCTCGTCTCTGCCCAGCTCCTGGTCCTTGAACATCTGCTCGAGGTTGTGCGTGAAGCTGGAACCGCACTCACTCTTGAGCTTCGACAGCATGTTCCGCTCCGCATCCTGACTGGCGCTGCGGCCCATAAGCAACCGGCGCGCCAAGTCCCTCTTGTAGAACGCCTCAAAGACATCCTTGCCTTCGATGAACCGGAACAGCTCAAGGCCATTGTCCAGCTGCCGATCCAGCTCTGCGTCCTCATCACCCGTGCTCGCGATGCCACTCATCTCAGCATCGGCCCTATCTTTGCTGTCGGAAAGTAGCGTCTTCGGCAACGTCTTTAGTCCGCCCCGGAGAAGTATGTCGATATACTTGGCGATCATCTCCCCAACCTTGGACGTCCCCGTGTTCCACGCTGCCGTATTCTTCTTGTCGTTGATGAACGACCCGAACGCTTCCCGGAGACCGTACGTAAACACCTCATCCTTCCCAAAGGCGTCCCGAATCATGATGTCCAGCGACCTCCGCAGCTCCAGAAGACGAATGACCATCTCCTCACCCCTCGCCGTGTCGCCAACAATAGCCGAGCCCATCGTCCGGATGTACTCCTCCCAGGGCCCCTTAAGCTGCTTCTGAATGTTGGACAACCTCAGGAGATCGTACAGCGCCTTGATCGACTCCACATCGTTCGCCTCCAGCAGCCTCCCGACGTTCCCGCTGTCAAGCAGCTTCGCCGAGTACTTCTCTACCAGGATCCGATGCGCATCATCCCTCAGCTGCCGTTTCGTCGCGCTGTCGAAGTTGTACTGGTCGCACCGTTCTCCCTCCCGCTGAAGCAGCCTCTCACAGGCAATGATATAATCCTTCAACCCGTACGCGGCGCTCCTCTCCTCTGCAAACCGCAAAAAGAACGAATGCGACTCGTCCAGAAACCTCCTCTCAAAAAACTTCCCATACACCCCAAACAACCTCAGCATCAGCACCGACTCCTTCAACAACCCGCTCTCAAACCTCTCATCTCCCTTCCGATCATAGTCCACCAACTCGCACATCGCCCCCAGCACCCTTCCCCCCAGCGGCGCCGCCACCTCCATCGCATCCTTCCTCCCCCCAAACACCGCCATCCGAAACAGCGCAATCCCCATATCATTGATCCCCAACTGCGCCTTGCCCTTCCCCCCTTACTCCCCCCTCCCACGAGCAAATAGCTCCGATCCAAGTAGCTATAAATCCACCGAATCCTCAACATCATCTCGCTCCACCTCCCCCACCGCTCCAACACCCCCCTCAACACCGCAACATCATCCCCCCTTCTCCCCCCAACCCTCCCAACATCCCCTCACCCGCCAAGAACCCCTCGCACCGCCCCCTCAGCGCCTCCGCCAGCCCCGCCGCCTCCCCCTTCCGACAAATATCCTCCACCCCGCGATACAGCCTCTCCATCGGCTGCGGCGTCGCCCGCCCCGCAAAGATGGCACCCAGCGCGGCCTCGAGCTCCCCGCGCGTCCGCGAGTAGTACTCGTCCACGCCCTGGGCGCGGGCCGCAGACGCAGGGCGGAGGTTCTTAATGACGATCTTGCGCGGGCCGATGTGCGGCTGGAGAGCGGAGACGGGGCCGCCGCGGGGGCGGGGCGGAGCGTTTGCGCTGGGGGAGGGTTGAGAAGATGTGAGGTCGATGACTTCGGAGACGGGGCGTTTGCCCTGGACTTTGGCGGACATGGTTGTGGTTGTGGTGGTGGTTGGAGGGCGCGGGTGGGGTGAGGTGTGGAAGGTGCTGGAGCGGGCGCGTTTGGTGTCGGCGGCGGCCGAGGAGGACGACGACGAGATTGTAGGGTTATTGCTGGTCGAGTCGTGCCGCCGCTTGGATGATTGTGATGTTGACGTTTTTGCGGAACTGACGGATGGAGGGGCCGCGCCGGCGTGGGGTGGCGCTGTAGGCATGGACAGGACCTCCACCTGGGCACTCGCTATTGAGGCGTTGTCTTGCAGACCCGGTTTTGCCGATAGTAGTGTTATATTTTGAGTTTTGGGCTTGTTCGGGAGAATGTACGTTGGTTAACAGTCGTCGAGCGTCATCGGCGATTGAGTTTGGGCGTGCTGGTGGTAGTAGTGGTTCAGCAGTTACGCACAATTGATGTTCATGACGGAGTTAAGATCGCGAATTAGCGATCACGGCAGGGAGTTGGGTGCAAGATAAGCGCGCTATCGATAACTGTCCGCACTGTACGGATACTTCGGGAGCTCAAGCTCTTCTCCGCACTGCGCGCAGCAGCCCCACTGTGGGGTAGCTTCCGCCTCTCAAGCATGGAGTCGACACCATCTGCGGTTATATATAGCCTTCTTACTCAGTACAAGAATTACAATTATGTGGCCGTTGTACCTCCTCTACATATCTCGTTCTGAGGTTTCCACCAGTGAACTCACTCTCTGAGACTCCTTTCCAACTTACCTGACCAAGATTTCCGCTCCTCCAGCACTCACTCGTCTCTAGGCATAAGCAGCCCAGCCTTCAACAACACGTTAGTACCACGCCCGGAAGATCAGAAGAAGAGAGAAGAAGAAAAAGAGTGAAAGCGTACCAGAGTACAACACGGCCAGGTTCCTCTCGTCCGTCGCCTGATTGATCAGGTCGTTCACCGTAGCCATCACGCTCAGTGTCTTGGACAGCTTCTTGCGCACCACCTCCAGCGCTCTGTCCGCCTCGCTCGGCTCGTTGGCCGTTCTCTTGTTCTCGACATCTGTCTGGTCATCGCCGCCGTTCCCACTCACGTCATCCCCAGTCCCATCCGGCGCCGCCCTCGCATTTTGCAACTTGGCCATGCGCACCGGGGAGATCGACCACGAGTACAGCGGATCGTAACGCAGCACGTCAAGAATCGTCATGATGGAGTAGGTTTCCTCGCGTAGCGCGTCCAGCGTGAACTCGCAACACCTCCGGAAGACACCCTCGGTCTTGGTGATTCCCATGCCGTCGACAATATCGCGCGTCAGTCGGAAGGGCACGAGCTCGGGGACCGGCAGTACCCGTCCCATCTCGAACGCAACGCCCAGGTCGATATGCACAACCTCGCCCGTGATGGAGTCAAGCAAGATGTTGTGACCGTGTCTGTCTCCCACGCCAAGGACGTGGCCCAGGATCGAAATCGCAGCTGTGCTCCTGGTGTAGGCTGTCCGGCGCATGAACCACTCATCGGGATCAGGGAACCTTTCCATAAAGAAGTACCGCATTACCGGGTGGAACTTCTCCGTAACCTTGCGGTAAGCATTGACGCGCGCATCAACCGATTTGGTTTGCGCGGCGGATATCTCCTTCCTACAGTGAGACCCTTTCAAGTCCTTGGGATAGTACCGCTCGTGTGCGGGCATGAGATATTCATGGAGGGGAATGGTGTCGGACACGAACTCGATGAGGCCCGACATGGCAGTGAGCGGAAGCACCTTGTAGGTTCGAATCACAAGATTCCGCTGCCTTGTCGTCCGGTGAAGCTTCAGGAGCTCTGATACTGCCGCAAAGACCTGCTCCATGATGGCATCTTGTCGGAGGTCGTCGTTGCCGCCCTTCACGAGCTGCTTGTATCGCTTCCCGTCAGATGCCAGCGCTGTGATGATCTTTGGGGCGCTGACGCCTCCCGCGATGGTCATCTCTGGCTCGAACTGCTGAATGATGGGCACATTCGAGTAGTCTGGGATTGCAGATAGCTCGAGCTGCATGGTGGGCGGCGGGATGTGGTACTTTCCAAACGCCTTGATGAAGCTGCTCCCG